GTGCCAGCTGTGTGGGGCAGGTGGGGCAGGTGCCAGCTGTGTGGGGCCGGTGGGGCAGGTGCCAGCTGTGTGGGGCAGGTGGGGCCGGTGCCAGCTGTGTGGGGCAGGTGCCAGCTGTGTGGGGCAGGTGGGGCAGGTGCCAGCTGTGTGGCCCAGGTGGGGCAGGTCCCAGCTGTGTGGGGCCGGTGTGCCGTGTGCTCTCACCTATGGGGACTTCTGTTTCAGATTTCTGGGGTGCGCTGAGGGCCACAAAGGCCACACTGAGGAACAGGAGCTGCACCCACACACCCATACTGCCCTGGAACACAGAGAGACAGACCGTCCATCAGGAAAGCAATAATAATAATTTTCACCTATTCCCACTGCACGGGCAGCACTGCGAGGAATACAGCTGTCTGAAGGAACCTGACAGGCAGCTTCATTGCTAGAGAAATACAGGCAGCAGAGACAGAAGCAGAGGGAAAGGGAGATTCATCTGAAAAGCACTGAACATATGGCTACTTACTGTTTTTTATATTATAACATTTCATTTCAAACTAGATTATACTTTTCACCCACCTGTTTCACTTGTGAGAAAGAACTGCTTCATGTGTGAAAGCTCTGCAGCGATTCTGACTCTCCTATCAGACTCACCCTGCGGCCCTCTCAGCTCAGACCACAGAGATCTCAACTGGAGGAACCACGGGGCTCACCAGAGGGTTTCCCAGCTCACAATGGCACTAGGTGGGGAACCCAGTCAGTCAGCTAACGCTCAAGCCCATTCTAGAGCTGAAAGAGCACCTCGGTCCACTTGTCTGACCCAGGCGGGACACCCAGCATTGTAAACTGCAGCTCTGAGCACACAGTGCTGCCATCACAGCTGGTGTGAGGAGTCCCTGCCACTGCCTCCTACCTCTCCCGGGGCAGGAGGTGGAACACAGCGACGTCACAGAGGAACACCACGGCAAGACAAACTACCCTGCAGCTCAGAACAAAGGTTCTTTCAGGACAGAACAGGCTCGGATAAAATGAAGGCCACAGAGCAGTACTTGGCCAGCAGATGGCAGTGTTGCTCTCCAGACTGGGAGCACAGCAGACAGGACTCTTGTCGGAGTCAAGCACAGCAAAACACTCTTAACTCAGCGCCCCCACACCCCACTAACCAA